GTGGACCGACACCCTTTGCACGCGCCCAGAGCGGAGTGCTGCTCAAGTCCCGTGGTTCAAGGACCTTGATTTACTCTTCACTCGTTCATACTTTATTTCACATTTTTAGACCGATTACGCTCATTCTTCTCATTACGCTCCGCCCCTGCATCCCCTTACGCCTCTCGATACGGGATCCAATTCATTGACTTTCTCCCACCTACCATGACTATATAAACGCCATGACGTCGCCTGTACTCATGTCATATAAAAGGCTATAAGTCCTAATCAGCAAATTTCTCACACCCCCTGTAAGCGGAGTCCAGTCGTGCCACCTAACACCAGTGTTCTCATCCTGCTGCGTGTTTTTTACCGATTTGAATACTCTAGTCCAAGGGAACAGAAGTTATGAATTTCCGGCCAAACACACACACACACCGACAAACTTACAGACACACTTAGCTTGTTATCTATAGTATTATAAAATGTTACCGTTGATGTACATCGGCTCCTTTTTTACATAGGAAGTACACCATTTCGACATCCTCATTGACAATTGCCTGATGAAGTGGCGAAAGTCCTGAAAGCACTGAAAAAGTTCCTTGGATCATCAGTGACCTAACTGAGTATTGCTCCCGCCACTCACTACGCTTGGGTCTTCTGCACGTGATGTAAAGTTTAAAGTGTAAGAGGTTTCCCAACTTTACTCCTATATTTGTTTGCAGTTATGCAAAGTTCTCGGCTACAATAAGATCCAAAATGAGGCCATGACATTCATCTCACAAATCATATCAGTAATTGTAGCTACATCCTTTGAGCAAAGACATATGAAGATGTCAGCAGAAAAACAGTCGTGGGTGATGGAAAGTGAAGCTCTTTGAACGACTCTTATTTGAAAACCACACAAAAAATGGAAAGGGGTGTGAACTCTTTGATTTAATTGCTCTTATAATCTTTTAGCCGGAGAAAATTCTGAATTTATTCACGATCGATGGCTCTACCATACCATAGTAATCCTCAGAAATGAAGATGTCATTGACAATTTTTGGGAACCGATTGACAATCTGCTTGGCCAAGTCGTTCATGTCAGCGGTATTATGCAGCAGGCATATGTGCAGAAGATTTTCGCCCATTCTACCTGAAAGATTGTTTCTCTTGGGCCGTGATTCTACCTTGATCGAATCTTTTGTGAAAAAGGCACACCTCGTTGTTCTATATCCCACACCAACTCGCGGTATTTAAACACTTTCTGACCACATGCACTGAATCCATCGAGGATTTTAAGAGCTGCAAGAATCTTCATTAAATCAGCAGAGCCACTGAGGAACTTGTTGAGCGTCACCTTTTAGGAAATCATCGGCGCCGAGGCGATCTTGATTGATGTCATCAAGGATG